GATGAGATGACTCATTTCGTGCTCCCATTGCAGCCCACACCACCAGGCTGGACTGCAGCCCAACCAACTTGGGGGGCTGTGCCTTCCCCAGACCAGAGGGGGCCAGATGTCTCAGTTCCCAGTTTCTCCAGCTTCACATGCTGCTAGCAAGAAGGTTAGTTGGTGGGAACTCAGATCCCAACCACCTGAAAATGCCAGACCAGGGGCCAGCAGGTGGTGTGGGGGTTAAGGTACTGGACATGGCTGACAGCAGTTTGAATCCTGGACCTGGTGGCTTGCTTTCTTAACTTCTCTTTCTCTGTCTCTCTCTGGTCAAATTTTTAAAAAATAATAAATGGGACCAGCAGATGGTGTAATGGTTATGTCGCTGGGCTCCCACATAGTCGATTGTGGTTTGAGTCCTGGATGACGGCTTAAAACACACCGGGCACGTGTGTGTACATGCCCAAAATCCTGAGAGGAGAATGAAAGAGAAGATTTTGGTGTGGCTATCCCCACTGGTGGGTGATTTCTCGCTTTCTGTCTGTCTCTCTGGAGAGTGCACACACCCTACAGCAAAAATCTCTCTTAAAAAAAGAAAATAATAATAAATAAAATTGAATAAAATAATTCCTTTTTAAAAATTATTTTATTTAACTTTATTTATTTACTTCACTTGGACCAGAGAGGGACAGAGCAAGAGCGAGAGCGAGAGCAAGAACAAGAGAGAGGGAAAGCGAGAAAGCAAGCCACCAGCTCTAGGACTTGAACCGTGGTTGGCCATGTGGGAGCCCAGCACCCTTAACCACCATATCACTTGCTGGCCCCTGAATAAAATAATTCTTAAAAAAAAAAAACAGACCAGGCCAAGATCCACCTCCCTGTCAAACCTGAGAGACGTGGAGCCCGGAATAAAGATGCCCAGTCTATTTCTGCAGATGAAACCCCTGAGAGGTTGGAAGGGGAGGGAGCTGCTTTTGCTTTTGCCTCCAGCAAGGCAAGACCCTGCTTCTTCACACCTGTGTGACCTTTTGCCAATTCCTTACCCTCTCTGAACCTGTTTACATAAGAGGATTTTATCACCTATCTTCTAGAATTGTGGTGAGGATGAAATAAGATATACAGAGCACCTAGTATGAGGCTTGGCACGCTGGGGGTGCTCTGTGGACAGGACTGTTGTTACTGCTGCTACAAACCAGGTCAGGAGCAGGACGCTAGAGGCCAAGCTAGAGGTCTATGGAGCACAGGGAAGAAAACGCTATTGATAGACTGGTCTCCCTACTTCTCTGCCTTAGCTTGCGTAGTCATTTCCCTGCAGTGAAGGTCCTCCCTCGCCTCCCTCCTCCTAGCGCTGCCCTCTTCAAGGCACTCTAAAACCTACCTGCCCCATGAGCTTTCCCTGGGCCTCCCAGCCTCCCCTCTCCCCTTGAGAATTGCTGCTGCACGCATCCAGTGCCACTTAAGGCAGAATTACATGCTGCCTGGCATCTCTCCATAATTACAGATTCCACGTGTGTGAGTCTTGTTTTCCCAACTCTAGAATCAGAGAATCTCCAAGTTTGAAGGGACCTCATCCAGCCTCTGCCTGCTGCAGGAATTCCCTAAGGAGTGTCCTCAGCAGATGGTCAGGCAGACTCCACCCACATGTGCCTGGGCAGGGAACTTCTCATAGAGAGGAGCTTCTGCCCCAGCACCTGCCTTGAGTCCTGTCTTCAGCCCTGAAGACCCACTAGGTCTTTCCTCTCAGATAGGGGTGGGGAGGCCTCCCTTCTCAGCTGGAGTCCCCAGGACACATCTCTTCTCAGCACCCACAGTCCGAGGGACCCAGAGGCTGGTAGTGGCCAACTCCTTGAACCTGGCTGGGCTCAGCTGCCTCTGTGCTCGTCAGCTCTCAGGACTCTGGTGAGGAACGTACCTCCAGCTCCAGGTACTCATGCTCTCCACACGTCTTTATTGAGACTGGCCAACGAAGATGTTGTGACTCAAAATGCTACCCCAGGCTTTACTAGAGAGATGGGGAGAGGACAGGTGGGGAGAGCCTAAAGCAGAAGGATTGGCTGGCCTGGCCTGGGAGGCAGAGGATGGTGGCCCTGAGATCGGCGAGGATGGCCAGTTGCACCAGGAGAGGAGGAAGGGAGGCATTCCCTGTGTGGAGTCCCGTATGCAGGTGCCCAGAGAGACTGAAGGGAGGGTACCCTGCAGCTGCAGTACAGTAAATGAACTGGCAAGGCTGCTGGAGCCAGCTGTGAGCTGGGAAGTTTGAACCTGGTCCTGTGGGCAATCGGAAGTTGCCAGCAGGTTCAGGTAGGAGAGATGATCTGATCGGAGGCAGCCAGGGCCTGGGAGATGAGCTGAGGATGGGAGGGATGGGACAGATGATCAGAAGCCCAGCCCATTCTTGGGTGAGAAACAAGGGAAAGGAGGTGGTCACAGGGAGAGAGGATGAAAGGATAGGGAGAAGGAACCAACTGGAATATCTAGGAGATAAGATTGGGAGGGGTGGGGCCAGCGGGTGGTGGTTGAGGTGCTGGATTCCCACATGGACTACCATGGGTTTTAGTCCTTGACCCAGCAGTTTGAAAATCACAACAAATGAATTGTTAAATAAATAAATAAATGTTTTTTTTAAAAAAAAGATTGAGAAGGGTTTGGTCACTTACAAATGCCACCTGACCAGCCCAGGTGATTAGCCCTTAAGAGCCCTGATTTAAAGCAACAGAGTAGGGGACCAGCAGGTGCCGTGGTGGTTAAAGTGCTGGACACTCTCACATGGGTGACCACGGTACGAGTCCCAGGTCTGGTGGTTTGCTTTCTCATTTCCCCTCTCTCTCTCTCTCTCTGTATCTCAAATTAAAAATAAATGAATGAATAAATACAATTTAATAAATAATTATTTTCTAAAAAATAAAGCAACAGTTGTGTAGAAATCTCAGAGACCACAAAGATCAGTGTTTTTGAACTGGATGTTGTCAAAAGGCAGAGCATGAAAGGGCCAGCAGGTGGCTTTGCTGAACTCTCACATGGCTGACTGTGGTATAAGCCCAGACCTGGTAGCTTGAAAATCATGCCAGGCACGTGTGCGTGTGTGCCCAAAGTCCCAGGAGGAGAATGGAGGACAAGGGATTATAGCATGGCCATCCCCTCTGGGGGGATTTCTCACTTTCCCTCTCACTGCCTCTCTCTGGTGAGTGTATACACCCCACGGCAAAAGCAAAAAAAAAGGCAGAGCATGAGTAAATTTGAGATGGACTCTGAGACTTTATTTTTTTTCTTTCATTTTCTTTTCTTTCTTTTTTTTTTTTTTTTTTTTGAGGGATTTTTGTTATAGGTCACATGCGCTTGCCAGAGAGACAGAGAAAGACAGAAAGAGAGAAATCACCCCCCTGGGGGATGGCCATGCAGTCCTTCCTCATCCATGCTCCTCTTAGGATTTTGGGCATGCACACACACGTGCCCGGAGTGAGTTTTAAGCCACCAGGTCTAGGCCTTGAGTTGCGGTCAACTACGTGGGAGTCCAGCCATGTAACCATTACACCATCTGTTGGTCCTAAGACTGCATTTCTTGTAAGCTCCCTGAAGATGCTGAGGCTGCTGCCCAGGGACCATATTTGCATAGCAAAGATCTATATTATCCTTTTTTTCCCCCTAATTTTTTTCTTCTTTTTAAATTTTTGCTATAGGGTGTATGTATTTGCCAGAGAGAAAGAGTGAGAAATCATCCCCCCGGGGGATGGCCACATGGCAATCCCCTCTCCTCCATTCTCCCCTAGGGATTCTAGGAATGCATACACCTGGTGTCGTTTTCAAGCTACCGGGTCCAGGGCTCAAACCACACAGACTAGCCATGTGAGATCCAGCACTTTAACCTCCACACCACCTGTCTGCCCCTACACTACCCTTTTTATAGAATAGAAAACTGAAGTTCATATAGTTAGTATACTTATCCAATGTCACATGGTTTGGATGAGGTCCCAGATCTCTGGGCTCCCAATCCAGTGTGCCTACCAAGCCACACGGCCACATCCCCCGAGGCAGGGTCTGTCATCATGCAATCCTTTTATGGCTGAGTGGCAGCATGGAGCCCAGAAGGATGCTTCAAGGATCGAGGGCCTAAAAATCAGAGTGGTGGCACAGAGGCTTGTGAGAGCCAGAAGAAAGGATCAGAGGGAGAGGGCCAAGAAGAGGGAGTGGAATCATGGCCGAAGCGTGGAGGGGACGGTAAAGGCCAAACTGAGTGGTTGGCAGGGGCCGCACCGGGCAGGGCCAGAGGCCAAGTGAGGAGTTAAGATATTACAGCTTCGTGGACTCACTGGGGCAGTGGGAGCCACCAGGAGATTTAAACAAGGAAGCAGCAGGCCCAGCAACAGGTGTGGGACTATTAGCTGGCTGCCGTTCCGAAACATCGATGTGGAGGGAGGAGTGGGTGAAGCCCCGCAGGCAGGGAGGCCGGCCAGGAGACTGCTGCGGTGATGGAGGTGAGCAATAACCATGATGAGCTGGGGACGTGGCGGTGGGATGGAGAGTCGGGAACAGATTCGAGGTTCGATTGACAGGACTGAATGACGGATTGGAAGTAGAGTATGAGGAGGAGGCAAGATGCCAATTCCTGACTCTGGTACCCAGGCAGAGAGCAAGATTGTTCCCTGAGATCTTCGCCAGGGAGATGCTAGTTAGGGAGGGAGAAGCGTGGCTCCGGAGGAGGCCAGCTGGGTGTGGGAGCCTATGGCATCAAGCAGGGGGTGTCCAGGGGATGCTGGGCCCGGGGTCTGATGCTTAAGACCTCGCACTGCTGGCCAGGCCCTCAGGCACCATCCGATTCAAGATACCTACCCACCTCTACACTTCCCAGGTGAGAAAACTGAACCCAGCAAGGGGAAAGGGCAGGAAGCAGCTGCATATTTGAAAAACTCCACAGACACAGAGATGTTCTAATAAATCCCAGTCCTGCTCTTAGTCCCCATGTGACTGTGAAGCGTTTACTGTCTCTCAGCTATTGTGCTTGTTTTCTGCTCCACCTGCAGGTCCAGAACATCAGCCTCCAGGAGGGGGAAACTGTGACTGTGGAGGGCCTCGGGGGGCCTGACCCAGTGCCCCTAGCCAACCAGTCTTTCCTGCTGCGGGGCCAGGTCATCCGCAGCCCCACTCACCAAGCAGCCCTCAGGTTCCAGAGCCTCCCGCCACCTGCTGGGCCTGGCACCTTCCATTTCCACTATCAAGGTACAATCTGGGCAGTTGTGACCTCCCTCCTGGTGGGGGTGTGGTGGTAGGGGACAGGGAAGGACTAGTTACAGAATAGCTGCCCGGTTAAGCTCTGCACAACTGGAAATAAGTGGCACTCATGTGACAGCTTCAGGACCCACCCTCCTCTGCTCACCACCATGCAGTCGGCCTTGATCAGGTATGCCCACAATTACTCGCTCATTCATTCAGTAAACCTTTCTGGGTACCTGCATTTTTTGGGGTTTTTTGTATGTTATAGGACACCTGTGACTGCCAGAGGCAGAGAAAAAGTAAGAAAGCACCCCCGCCCCCCAGGGGCCATGGCCACACCACAGTCCCTTCTCCATTCTCCTCTCTGGATTTTGGGCATACACATACACGCACCCAGCATGTTTTTCAAGATACCATGTCTGGGACTCAAACCGCCCATCGGCCATGTGGGATCTGGGTGGCTTAACTACCACACCACCTGCTGGCCCCTAGGCACCTCCTTTTTTATGTTTATACTGGACTGGTGATAACAAGACAGACCATTTAAGGTCCTTGCCCTTGGCAAGCTCAGAATCTCAGAGGAGGCAGACAGTTAGGCAATACCAATAAAGGCCCTCTCCCCAAATATAAGAGCGTGAAGGTCTTGGGGTTGACAACGACCATCTGGAGCTCTTTATCTGCTAGCCTGGCCTGCCTCTGCCTGGCTTGTGCCCCAGTCTGCTCAGAACACCTCTGGAAAGAGGGGGAATGGCATAATATCATGGAAAATCACAGACCTGGGCGATGGCCAGATCTGTGTTTGACTCTCCTGCTCACTGGCTTTGACCACAAACCGGTCATTTGACCTCTCTGACCCCTCTTCTCTGCTATGAGACCAGAACACCTATCCCACACAGTCATGGTTAGGCTTAAAATGGTGACTGTCATGTGCATAGCATCTGCTCCATTAAGGAAACTAGTGTTCAATTGCTGGCAGGGCGGGGAGGGAGGAAAGGGGCCTTTGAGACTCTGTTGCTTTCCCATCCACATCCCTCCTGCCCCTGCCGTCCCTGGGCACGGGCAGCTTGATTCTTTGCACAGGTTAACCAGTGCAGACTGGGAGTGCTAATAGGGAAATAATTGGTGTGAACAGTTACAGAACTGTCTTGTACATGGAGCACTCCTGCAGCCCTGCAGGGGGCCACAGCTGGGCTGGAGGGCTGGCCCTGTGGAGGTGGAGATGCTTGGAACCCCGCCTAAGGAGGACGCACAGAGTCTTGGCCTCTCCGCCCAAACTAGAAGAGCAGTCTGGCATGGCAGCAGAGAGAGCACCCGGTGGTGGGCAGGGCTTGCACAGGGGCTTGGGGCCAGCTGAGGCAAGGGTGAGCGTGTAGGTGGCCGGGCCAGCCTCCCTAATGGCTCATCAATCCTCCTGGCAGCCAGCACAATTTCACGCCACAGTAACCTTTTCTCTTACTGCAAATGTCTTTGCACAAAACTCCGGATCTCCTCTCTGTGGGCCAGACAAAGGTGGGGACTCTGCAAGGGGGAGCAGACCCGGAGGAGAGGCTGGGAGAGCTGGCCCAGTCCTGCCTCCCTCTTGGCTCCCAGAAGCCCTTCCTCCCCAGCCTGTTTTTTGTCAATGATCAGCTCTTTCCTTAATGAGAGTAATTCCCCTAATTATAGGCTGTAATTAGCCCTGATCCCAGAGATGGGAACAGGAGGAGCGTGTGCTCACACGAGCATCTCCGTGGGCTGAGGAAACAGGGTGCCAGGGAGGAGGCGAGGGGCCACATATCCACGCCCATGCTGGAACTGACGGTGCAGGTGACAAGGATGGGTCCCCACAGGGGCCTCATGGCAGGACCATGTTCCAACACCCCTCTCACAGCCTCAGGCAGGGTGAGGAGGCAGAGGGCCCTGACAGGAGCCCCCATCCTCCATCTTGAGCGTTCCTGGCACTGGACTTGGCCCCAGACACAGACGCCAGTGAGAAAATAACTCGGCAGATTGTAGCTGTGCTGGCTCCCGGGGATGGTTGTCATGGCAACAAGAGGAAGCTCCTCCCGGGAAGTGGCACTTCACCCACCATGGAGTCTGGGGGACTCGAAGTCTGCCCTCAGCCCCCTGCCTTCACCTAGTCCCCACCTAGTTTCCTCATCTGTAAAATGGGGGACCTCTGTCCCCACAGCTGTGTTAGAACTCAAGAAGATGTGAGTACATGCTGAGCCGACTCCTGGCTCACCGTCTGGTCTCCTTGGGTGTCGCCCCTCTGCCCCCTGCACTTGGGGTACAGTGCCCCACAGCCTCTTCCCCATCTAGTCGTGGCTTCAGAACTTTCCCCAAGCCACCATGAGCGGCCACCCTGAACAACCGCCCGGGGCAGCACTGTCTCTTACTCTCAGCTGTCTCTGACCCCTGAACCCATCCTCTACTTCACCTGGGGAAGCAAGCAGGGAGGCAGATGGAAAGCAAGCGGGCTTGAGAGCCCAGAGCGTCCCGTTCCCGCCCTAGCACACAGTCTCTCTGAACCTCAGTTTTCCTCATCTCAAAACACGTCACTTATCCCTACCTTGCCATCCGTCCTCCTGAGCACATTGTAGACATGGAGGAAGAGGAGAGTGAAGGCATTTTAGAAGCTGGAAGGTGCGTACAGATGAGAGGTGCTGTTGTTTACCAGGGTTACAGCGTCCGAGGCTGGCACGGTAGCTCCGTGTTCTGTTCCAGGCACACGCGTACCTCTCACTTTACCTCCACTACTCTAAGTGGGTGGGTAAAAAAGGAACTAAAGGGGACCAGCAGTTAGCGTAATGGCTATGTCGCTGGACTCCCATGTAGTCGATGGTTCGAGTACCGGACTCGGTGGCTTAAAACTCACGTCGGGCGTGTGTGTGTGCGTGCCCAAGATTCTGAGAGAATGGAGGAGAAGGGATTGCAATGTGGCCATTCTCCTTGGGGGAGTGATTTCTTGTTTTCTGTCTCTCTGTCTCTGTCTGGCGAGTGCATGCCAGCAAAAATCTCTCCAAAAATAAATAAATAAATAAATGGAACTCAAGCACAGAGAAGTTAGGTAACTTGCCCAGGGTGGCACAGCACGTAGGGGAGCCTATATTCAAACCCAAGCAGTCTGACTCCAGAACCTCCCTCCTAAGGTCTGCTCTCCACTGCCTGCGATCAGTCATCCACTAGGTGGACTGCTCTTTCCCGAACCCTGTGAGAGAGGGAAGAGAAGGAACCAATCTCCCACTTTCACAGAATCATAACTAAGGCCAGGACAGGTGAAAGTCACAAAACTTAAGTTTCTGGACCCTGGCCTGCCCAGAGATAGCCCCTTTTTCTATCCACACAAAGGCCTGTAGAGATTCAGATACGGTTTATTACCCGTCGATGATGACGTGTATAGTATTCTCAACTGGACAGGTCTGAGAAGTATTTCATGTTGGGTAAAGTCTTTTTACAAGCAAAATGATACCTAGTGATTGAATGTTTAAAAAAAATCATTGGAATAATAATAATCATCTGGGAAAAAAATGAAAAGCTATTGGATGATGATGATGGGGATTTTAATGTCTCTGTATTGACTGATACGAGTGGTACTCCTTCTGGAAAAAGAAATGTAACACGCTGTGAAGTTGTATGTGATTCAATGTAATATAAACAAGATTATGATAAAAATAAATAAATAAATAAAGGCCCATAGAGACCAGCAGAGCTGCTGCCTGGGCCTCTTTTCTTATTAGCCTAGTACCATCAGCAAGGGTTTTCCTCCCGTATCTCCAGACTCAGTTCCTCAGTCTAGAAAGTCATCCCTCGTACCACCTGGACGGTTGTTAGGCCCTCCCTAACATCCAGACCTTCCTTCAGCCCGTCTCCTGGACCTTCCCGCCCCTAGGCCTCCTTCCACCTCTCAGAACCATGCCAGGATCCTCATCTTTAGTTACCATCCCAGTTTGCCCCCCTCCCCCGCCTTGGGATTTGCCGATTTGTTTTATAGGATTTGCTGCCACCGTATGGTTATACCTGGTATGACACTTCCAAAAAGCTACCAGGTTTCCCAGGGCAACTTGTCCCTCCCCCAACTTCCAAGAAGACATGCTCCGCCTCCCCACCCCGGCCCCCAGCCTTTGAAAGAAGTCCATAGTCATTGCCATGGAGCTTTTGAACATTTCCCAGTGAATACTGGAGGAGCTTTTACTGTCTGACTTCAATCTTTCCTGCCGCGATTCATATTTGTCCCTTACAGGGAAAATAGTATCAGCTCTTTACATCAGTACAGGCTTTTCACTAGTTCAAGTGCTTTCGCATCTATGACTCATTCAATAAACACTTTTTGAAGATATCTTATCAGCCAGGGATACCAAGCTGAATAAAATACTATCCCATCCATTCTTACAATAATCCTGCAGATGGGCCGGCATTGGGAACCTCATCTAATACATGAGGAAATAGACACACGAAGGTTAAGTAACCTGACGCTTGGAACAGAACCCAAGCCTCCTCATTTCCAGTCCCGCGCTTGTTCCACTAACTAGCGAGGCTGTTGGAAGTATCATTAGCACTTGATAGGGAGGGGACCAGTCTTTTTTGGAACTCCTGATGTTTCCTCTGGCTCCAAATGACACCTCTAGGTAGGTTGGGATAAATTGGAGCAAACCCCCCCAGGTCTGCCCTAGGCAATGGCTCAGCACCCTCCAACAATACAGTATCGCCCCATCTCTCTCTTTTTTAAAAAAGAGAATTATGTAATTGTATTTATTTATTTATTTATATTTGATCAGAGAGAGAGAAAGGGAAAGTGAGAAAGCAAGTCACCAGGTCCTGGACTCGAACTGTGGCCGGCCATGGGTAGTCCAGCATCTTAACCACCATGCCACCTGCTGGCCCACACCCTTTCTCTCTTTACAGCCTATCTCCTCAGCTGCCACTTTCCCCGACGGCCAGTTTATGGAGATGTGACCGTCACCAGCCTCCACCCAGGAGGCAGTGCCCGCTTCCACTGTACCACAGGCTACCAGCTGAAGGGTGCCAGGCTCCTTACCTGTCTCAACGCCACCCAGCCCTTCTGGGATTCTCAGGAGCCTGTATGCATCGGTGAGTGGCCAAGGGGGAAGGGCTCAGTGCAGGACAGAGGACTGAGGGAGGGGGCTCATCCTTGCTATTACCATCTCTCTATTTGCCCTCCATAAGGAAGCCAGAATGTGGTCACACACTTCCGCAGCATTCATCTTGCCTGCGTTTATTGAGCACCTACTATATTAAGGCATCACACATATATAGAGCTGAGTTAAACAGGGACTCAGCCCTCAAAGAGCTCCCAGTTCCAGAAAAGGAGGAAGAAGAAAGAACATGGGTCACCAGTTCCCAGAGCAGGACATAAAAATACCAATGAAGAGAGAGAGAGGGGAGGGGAGGGGTGGTCACTCCTAGCTGGGTATTCAGGAAGTTTCCTAGGGGAGATGGAGGGAACAACGTGAGCAGTGACATCGGGGCAGGAAAGTGAGGGTGTTCAGGGACACAGAAGACAGACAGCATGGTTTGGCTGAGGAGAGGGAGCTAGAATGTCAGCCAGAACATGGGATGGGAAGCCATTGAAGTTTCTGAGAGGAGGGAGTTCAAAACTGCTTCTCAGGAGAGCCTCCCAGGTGATTGAAGGCTGGAGGCCAGCCAGGCCGGAGAGTTTGAACTTAGTGACTTGGGAAATGGAGAGAGGGGAAGGAGTTCCAAAGGGAAGTTTTTTTAGTGAAGGCCTCCCAGGTTCTGGCCCTGGGTGATCAGGTCTGCGACTCCTCCCAATGGACGGACACTTGCTGGCTGGAGGAGAATGAGATGTCTCGTTTGTAGTTAAGAGAGACCACATGATCTTTTTTCTTTTCAAGGGAGGGACCTTGAGCTTTGTGTTTTGTTTAATTGTGTTTCCCTACCATGAGAGAGAGAGAGAGAGAGAGAGAGAGAGAGAGAGAGACAGGCACCTCCACCGGGTCTTCAGGCTGCAACCCACCCCACGTATCAGCATAATCATGTGCATATGTGCTCATAGAGGGCCCAGGATACAAACCCAGAACCTTTCCATGTGGGTCCAATCACGTTACTATTGCACCACTGCCGCCCCCAGCTTGGCTTTTGCAAACAGATGTGTTCTCTGCCTAGTAGGAAGACTGACAAGCAGCTCCGTGCAGAGAATGCTGCAATTGGGTGAACTCAGAGTGTTGTGCAAACCCAAGGGACAGCTGTTCTGAAATGAAGGAGTGGGCCAGGAGGGCTTCCTGTGGGGACGGCATGGAAGGATTACTGAAACGTTGGAGAAGTAGGGTGGATACCTAGAATAGCAAATGAAGGCATAAGATAGTGAGGAGGAGCCAGCAGGTGGCATGGTGGTTAAGGGCACTGGACTCCCACATGGGCAACCACGGTTCGAGTCCCAGGCCTGGTGGTTTTCTTTCTCACTTTCTCTCTCTCTTTCTCTCTCTCTGTTCCTCTCTAGTCAAATTAAAATAAAGTTAAATAAAACAATTCTTTTTTTTTTTGAGACGTTTTTGCTATAGGGCGCATGTGCTCACCAGAGAGAGAGAGAGAGACAGAGAGATAGAAAGTGAGAAATCACCCCCCGGGGGGATGGCCACGCCACAATCCCTTCTCGTCCATTCTCCTCTTGGCATCTTGGGCACACACACGCACCCGGCGTGAGTTTAAGCTACTGGGTCCTGGACTCAACCACAGTCGACTACGTGAGAGTCCAGGGACATAGCCATTATGCCAACCGCTGGTCCAAGTAAAACATTTCTTAAAAAAAAAAAAAAAAAGATAGTGAGGTTATTACGTCACTGGACTCCCATGTAGTTGACTGCAGTTCCAGTCTCAGACCCAGTGGCTTCAAACTCATGCCGGGTGCATGTGTGGATGTGCCGAAAATTCCAAGAGGAGAATGGAGGAGAAGGGATTGCGGTGTGACCATCCCCCCAGGGGGTGATTTCTTGCTTTCTCTCTGTCTCTCTGGCAAGCGCACACACCCTATAGCAAAAATCTCTCTTTAAAAAAAAAAAAAAAGATAGTGAGGATGTAGCAAGGTGGGCCTGGAAGAGAGGAGATATGGAGAAGGGGCTGATGCTGAGTCTAGAGAGGCTCAGAGTCATAAGGGCTGGAACGCCATTTTGAACTTGAACCCTATCCTGAGGATAATAGGGAGCCTCTGAGCAATTTTAAAAAAAGAATTGTTTTTATTTAATTTTATTTATCATTATTATTTTTTAACTTGACCAGAGAGAGAGAGAGAGAAAGGAGAAGTGAGAAAGCAAGCCACCAGGCCCAGAACTCATACCATCGTCGGCCATGTGGGAGTCCAGCGTCTCAACCACCACGCCACTTGCCTGCCTCACTGAACAATTTTCTTTTTTTTTTAAAGAAATATTTTATCAGGACCAGCAGTTGGTGTAATGGCTATGTCACTGGACTCCCATGTAGCTGACCATGGTTTGAGTCCCGGACCCTGTGGCTTAAACTCACACCAGGTGTGTGTGCGTGCATGCTCAAGATCCCAAGAGGAGAATAAAGGAGAAGGTATTGTGGTGTGGCCATCTCCACTAGGGGGTGATTTCTCAATTTCTGTCTCTCTGTCGTTCTGGCAAGCGCACATGCCCTATAGCAAAACCTCTCCAAAAAAAGAAAAAGAATTGTTTTATTTTACTTATTTATTTTTTTTGAACAGATTAAGAGAGAGAGAGAGAAAGGAAAAGTGAGAAAGCAAGCCACCAGGTCCAGGACTCGAATCACGGTTGGTCATGTGGGAGTCCAGCGCCCTTAACCACCATGCCACCTGCTGGCCTCCAGTCCACTGAGCAATTTTAAGCAAAGAACGAGACAATTGCATTCTGACACCAAGCTGAAGGTAGATCTGCTCTCTCTGCAAAGAAGCATAGAAGAAACTCACGGCAACCCCCCAGGAAGTTTATGAGGTTAGCATTCTGTGGCTTTGAGCCTCTGGAAACAAAGGGACTGTGTGTTGGTTCTGGTAGCCTTCTCTGAGAGCCAGGCATGGCCAGAGCTATGTGCCCAGGAAAGGAAAGCACTGCCTGGAACCCATCATGCTCCTCTTGCCTGAGGCCCCTTCTCTGGCCCCACTTAACTGCTGGGAACTCGTGGCCAAGAAATTCAGCAATCTTCACTGACGGGCACAGGACAGGACAGCCCCAGGCCAGAAAGGCTGGCACTGGAAAGACCCTAAGTCGTCAGCCCAGGAACGATTGTGGCGGCGATGCCTGGACGGCTGCTTCAGAAAGTGTGTAAGGGTTGGTGGCCGGACAACGGTGCAACCATTACGCTGGGCTCTGAAAGGCCGACTCACGTGGGAAAGTTCCAGGTTCATGTCTAAAGACCTCCCTCAACACTCAGGGTTGATCTGGGCCTGGCTAGAGCTGAGGGCAGATGTGGTTGAAGACCCTGTGGGGACTGCCTATCTCTCTGTCTCTGTCTCTCTCCTGCATGGGAGAGAAAAATGTAAAAGAGCTCGAGGCCATCTATGGCTAGCAATGTCTATTAGAGGCATGAGATTCGGGGATGGGTAGCATGTACATGAGACATTTTCACACCTGATTATCTAATCCCACCTCTTTTTACATCCCCTCACTCATTTTAGTCAACCAACACTGAGCACCAGCTCTCTGTCTAGCTTGAGCAGACCAGGGGTCCTAGGTTAGGGGTATATGCAAACAAATAACTAGTTTTAGGAAAGCGGCATGAGGTAGGGGTAGCAGATATACCCAGGAGGACTAGAGCCCAGAGGAAAAACTTTGATAAAGTCTACCTGAAGGAAGTCAGGGAAGGCTTCCTAGAGGAGTCAGCAGAGTTGCATATGAAGAGTCCCAGGGACCAGCAGTTAGTGTAATGGCTATGTCGCTGGACTCCCACGTAGTCAACCGCGGTGCAAGTCCCGGACCCGGTGGCTTAAACTCATGCCGGGGGCGTGTGTGCGCGTGCCCAAGATCCAGAGAGGAGAAATAGAGGAGAAGGGATTGTGGCGTGGCCATCCCCCCTGGGGGGTTGAGTTCTCACTTTCTGTCTCTCTGTCCCTCTCTGTCTGTCTGGCGAGTGCACGCACCCTATAGCAAAAACCTCTCCAAAAAAAGAATAAAAAAAAAGAGTCCCAGAGCATAGTTAGAAGGTAGGATCCTGGAGCCCAGACTGCCTGAAGCTGCAGGGTTACAGGGCTAAAAGACTGACCTTAGGGAACATGATGACAGGGAGGCAAAGGTCTGGCTGCCCTGTGCAGCAGAGGGTAGGCGCTTGGATGGGAGGAAGGTGCGTCAGGCTGGCCAGGGTCCAGTCCGGGCCCATCCTGTGTACTGTCCCCGTCTCACAGCTGCCTGTGGGGGAGTGATCCGCAATGCCACCACCGGTCGCATTGTCTCTCCGGGCTTCCCCGGGAACTACAGCAACAACCTCACATGCCACTGGCTGCTTGAGGCCCCTGAGGGCCAGCGACTACATCTACACTTTGAGAAGGTTTCTCTCGCAGAGGATGATGACAGGTGAGGGACTGTCCTGGTGGGAGGGTAGTACCTAGCCTAGTAATACCCTGCTGGAGGGCTGGTACCCTGGTGTGGGGTCATACCTCCCTGCCTGGGGCAGCCACCAGCCTGAGAATTGCTCCTCTCCTGGCCCAGGCTCATCATTCGCAATGGGGACAATGTGGAGGCCCCTCCCGTGTACGACTCCTATGAGGTGGAGTACCTGCCCATCGAGGGCCTGCTCAGCTCTGGCCGGCACTTCTTTGTGGAGCTCAGTACTGATAGCAGCGGGGCAGCTGCAGGCATGGCCCTGCGCTATGAGGGTGAGCCTGCCGTGGCCTACCTGGGGATGGGGACTTGGGCCCAGGGTCTTTCTCCCATACCTTTCCCCTCTGCCTCCATTCCATCATTCCTGCCAAGTCAGCCCCTGCTCCTTCCCTCTGATCCAGGATCTCCACCCCATCTTTAGAAGAGAGCCTTGCCTGGAACAAAGCCCTCTGGTCCTAGAGAATGAATATCACAGATTGTAAAAAGCAAAAACAGGCCCCAATCCTTGGGACCAGCAATTAGCATAATGGCTATGTCGCTGGACTCCCATGTAGTCAACCGCAGTTTGAGTCCTGGACCCGGGGACTTAAACTCATGCTGGGCGTGTGTACATGCATGCCCAAGATCCTGAGAGGAGAATGGAGGAGAAGGGATTGTGGCGTGGCCATCTCCCCCTGGGGGGTGATTTCTCGCTTTCTGTCTTTCTGTCTCTCTCTCTGTCTTTCTGGCGAGCACACACACCCTATAGCAAAAACCTCTCCAAAAAAAAAAGGGCCCAATCCTTAGGGAAGAATGGCCACACGACCCTCCAGGGATCAACACTACCATTCTAGAACCATCCATGCATGTATGTGTCCTTGAGTCACACACACATACATACAAATTTATTGAGCACTTTCTGCATACTAAGCACAAGACGAGGCACTGGAAATGGTGAAGACGGCCTCCTACCCACAATAAGGATGGCTGCTCTGAGCTGTCCTTCCCGCCACCCCTGCCTCGCTCCAAGCCCAGGTACACATTCACACTCAAGAAGAGAAAGGCCCGGGAACCAGCAGTTAGCGTAATGGCTATGTCGCTGGACTCCCACGTAGTCGACCGCAGTTTGCGTCCTGGACCCGGTGGCTTAGAACTCACGCCGGGCGCGTGTGCGTGCGTGCCCAAGATCCCGAGAGGAGAATGGAGGAGAAGGGATTGCGGTGTGACCATCCTCTCTGGGGGGTGATTTCTCGCTTTCTGTCTCTCTGTCTCTCTCTGTCTGTCTGGCGAGCACACGTGCCCTATAGCAAAAACCTCTCCAAAAAAAAAAAAGAAGAGAAAGGCCCTGGGGAGGAAAGTAGGAGAGTGCCTGTTCCCCAACGCCCATGTTTACCCCAGCTGAGGCTGAGCTGGGCCCTGTGGTTTATAGCCTTCCAGCAGGGTCACTGCTATGAGCCCTTTGTCAAATATGGCAACTTCAGCAGCAGCGCACCCTCCTACCCTGTGGGCACCACTGTCGAGTTCAGCTGTGACCCTGGCTACACGCTGGAGCAGGGCTCCATCATCATCGAGTGTGTCGACCCCCATGACCCCCAGTGGAATGAGACAGAGCCAGCCTGCCGAGGTCAGTAGGCACCCGTGAATGGGCCTGCCGGGAGAGCAACAGGGTGGGACCCTGGGGGCCCTGTGATATATGTGATTCAGGTTTCTCTTGAGGAGGAAGTGAGGGCTCCCAGCAATGGGTGGGCACTCCTGTGGGCAGGTGGCAGCCCCAGGACATGGCACTGGGGGGAACGCGGAGGGGACGCGCCTCCCGGGCCTCCCCTGCCTTGCAGCCGTGTGCAGCGGGGAGATCACAGACTCGGCCGGCGTGGTGCTCTCCCCCAACTGGCCAGAGCCCTATGGCCGTGGGCAGGACTGCATCTGGGGCGTGCACGTGGAGGAAGACAAGCGCATCATGCTGGATGTCCGAGTGTGAGTGTCCCTGGGTCAGGCAGAGCCAGCTCCCCGGGTCTGGGCTCCTGGGGTCTGGGCCGCAGGCCCACCCTGCCCTGACAGTCCTCCTCCACAGGCTGCGCATAGGCGCTGGGGACGTCCTTACCTTCTATGATGGGGACGACCTGACGGCCCGGGTCCTTGGCCAGTACTCAGGGCCCCGTGGCCACTTCAAGCTCTTTACCTCCATGGCTGATGTCACCATCCAGTTCCAGTCGGACCCCGGGACCTCGGTGCTGGGCTACCAGCAGGGCTTCGTCATTCACTTCTTTGGTGAGCTTGTCCCTGCCCCACTCAGAGTCCTAACCTGACCACGGTGAGTTGCAGGCCAGAGGATTAAGAGGCCTGGGAGCTAGAAGAGCCTGGGCATCACCTGAAGAAAGCTAGTCCCATCCCAAATGCTCCCCATCTGCCCTGTGGGCCCACTAAGAAAGGACGCCTAATGCTGTAGCAGGAAAGATTTGGATAGACAGCAGGAAGCACTTCCTCGCAGTAACAGGGGTCTGAGGGAAGATGGTTTCCACTTCCTGTGTGTGACAGACAGGACACTTTCCCTCCCCGAACGTGGCCCCAGCTCTCAGGTCCGAGGAATTGGCCGGTGCTTATGGAAGTAAAACCAAGGTCTAGATGGGATCTAGGAGGCAGAGCAAGGTCAGGGACAGGCGAGGAGAGTTCCTTGAGCAGAGATGAATGGGATGAACTTGCAGGATCCAGAGCACCCGCAGGGTGAGAGGGGTTGGTACAAGCCTTCTGGCACTGCCGAGGGCCTGCATCTTGCTGCTTCTGTGCCCCCAGAGGTGCCCCGCAATGACACGTGTCCAGAGCTGCCTGAGATCCCCAATGGCTGGAAGAGCCCGTCGCAGCCTGAGCTGGTACATGGCACTGTGGTCACTTACCAGTGCTACCCTGGCTACCAGGTGGTAGGGTCCAGTGTCCTCATGTGCCAGTGGGACCTAACCTGGAGTGAAGACCTGCCCTCATGCCAGAGGGGTGAGTGTACCTGTTCTCCTCTGCCCGACACAAGCCTCTCCTGGATTCTGAACCAGACTCCAGCTGTTACTAGCTGGTACCCTAGCTCTCATAGCCTCCGTTTCTTCCTCTGTGAAATGGGGACGGTACTTTTTCCTAGGGCTATTGGCCATGAATTCCACGTATTTCATTCCTGGTAGATGGTCAATTAGTGTTTGTTGATTGTAATGGATGGGAAGGGGAAAAAAATGAGGGTACTCCTGGTAAAATGGAAGGAACAGATAAACAGGGGGTGAAGACAGGAAGATGTTAGCTGGCCTGCAACAACCCAGGCAGACTGGCCTGTGCTGAATTCCCCCTGGGCTACTTCCCTCTGTCCCCCTCACCTATAGTGACTTCCTGCCGTGACCCTGGGGACGTGGAGCACAGCCGACGCCTCATATCCAGCCTCAAATTTCCTGTGGGGGCCACCGTACAGTATATTTGTGACCAGGGTTTTGTGCTGACGGGTAGTGCCATTCTCACCTGCCATGACCGCCAGGCCGGCAGCCCCAAGTGGAGTGACCGGGCCCCCAAATGTCTCTGTAAGTGTCAGATGGGTAGGAGGGGAAGCCTCTGGTGGGAGAAAATAGACGCTGTCCTGGAGGTTAGGGGCCTGGCACACTCACTGGCTTCCGCCTGCTTTGCAGTGGAAC